CATTTTGCCTCTAGGTGGCTCTAATAAAATACCTGAGTTAGATCTAAGATTGTACAAGGACTTGCGTTTGATAACTAAAAGATTGCTAATATATGCGGGTGCGAGGCCATGGATGGCTTTAAAAGTTAATAATAGGATCTTAAAGTGTATACGCGCTAGTACTGGTAACCAGTGTAACTCATAGAGTACTGGAGTAATGTGAGAATACTTCCCGATATCCATAATTAGTCTGGCGGCAGCATTTTGCACGCGTTGTAACTTAGCTATTTGCTCTTTGGGAAGGCCATACAATAAAGCATTACAGTAATCTAACCTACTCCTGATGAATGCGTGTACCAAATGTCTGCCATTTTGTGACAGTTTGTCTTTATTTGGTATTGGGAAGTGCCTGCAAAGAATAAAGAGTAATTTATTGATCTGTCCTAATATCAATTTCTTAGCACAGATTAGTGTCTTCGTCTTCATTTATTATATGGCTGTGTCTCACAAGGACTGGGAACTACTGAATTCACGAATTTGATTGGCTGAAATCAATATTGAAAGCAGTCTAGATTTTCCCATCTAGATCAGCATCTAGACCGGTCTTGAAAAAAAAGGTACAAAGAATATAAAAAATTGGCATATAAGACACAGCCATGTAATAAACATCTTATTAACCGAGCTAGGTCGGTCTGTATGGGAGAATCTTGACCTTGGTTGCTGGTATGGACCTCACTGCGTTCGGTCTGTACTGGTGACCTCAGTCAAGATTCTCCCATACAGACCTCCCGCTCGGTTTAAGAACTAAGTACAGACTGTATGTGACTAGAGTTAGGGCCTTATTAATATTCACCATAAAGGCATGTTAGAAGGTTGAGGTTACTAAAGTGCCACTGGAACAAAATTTTCATATCTGAGATTTTTTCATAATTTAGTGGTTTGAAACAGGCTGATTATCGTGGGCTAAGTTGTTTTCACCAGAAAAAAAGGGAAAGTTGTCTTTTTTAGGGTTGAAAACTGCATTTTGGCTTCAAAACATGTCCGGGCCCTGGGAACGAATGAAAACGATTGCTGACATCACTGGTTATATTTACCTCGCGAACGTGGGTCTTTTCTTTTGCAATTTTTTGTATTTATACGGTCCGCCATAATGTCTGAAAACGAGCCTTCAACGGGCGAATCTTCTTTAGAAGGGAGCGAAGACATTTGCAGCAGTGATGGGGAAAGTTACTATGTATTTAATGGCGATTTTGCACCATACCAAGGCGAGCCCTTGGCTTCTAGTGAAGACGGCGATAACAATGGCAGCGGGGAAGATGAAAAAGACGAAGATGGTATTTTGCCCTCCGTTTTAGAACAACGCTTTGAAGGATAAGTTCCTTAAGTTTAGACAATTGGTGAGAGCTCAGAGCTGTGATTTTTTTATTTTTCGATTGAACCTTCAGGCTTAAGTCTAAACATTTCTGTTTACAAGTGTACATGTGGAAATTGTAGTGTTACACACTTACCTGGTTTCTGCCTCTGGGGAAGCCTTTTGATATCATTTAGTACGCTTGTCTTCATGAGAATTTCCAGTATCTTTTCATATGCCTTTGTGCCTATGGAAAAAAAAACGATTGAAAAGTTACAACTACATAAGTATGTTTAAGATGAGAGATAAGATGTCACAGATTTTTTAAACAGTAATTAAAATTGCATTTTTTGAAATTAGTCATTTCAAAGGAATGGTACTCTACTTCTAAATTTTAAAACAGATATTAATCCGAGATGTCAGGAAAATATGGTTTATTCACATGTGTATTTAGAAAAGGGAATCACATTTCTATTATCTTGCCATTTAAAGAGATAAATATCCTTTCGTTTAACCTACCTACTTTGATCCATTTCCTAGGCTCAATGTCATCATTATGTGCACATTCTTCAAAAAGCTTGTCAGGGTGATTGGTATGCTTGTTTGACACATGCTGCATGAAAGATTTCCACTTGGCCAAAATTAAATCTTGCAAACCAGATTTTGTTGAGGTGGAACACCAAAAGGTGGGATTTTGTTACAGCCTTCACCCATTGTGCAATCACTTCACAACCTTTTTGTTTGCTGGCAGCCAGAAGTTTCCTAACTAACCCTTGACATTCTCTGATCCATTTGGCTATTCCCCTGTGATGGTTGGAAACAAAAACTTTGACTGTCAGCCCTGCAACCCTCTGTAAATACTGAAAGCAGAGCTTGGCACCTTCTAGTTCCATAGCATTACTGCTACCTGTCTGGTTGGCCTGCAACCAAGATGTACAATATTTCATAGTGTGAGGCACATGCTTATTCCTAGATTTTATGGGCACAAACCATGTATCTTATTAAAACATCTCATTAAATGGAGACTTTTTATTCTAATAACTGGGCTGTTCATAACTTCAAAAACTTTGTTTTTGGCTTAGGACATACATATAAATCATTTTTCATGTAGAAAACCTGATGCATTAAATAAAAGTAGTGTGTTCACTGCAAGTGATGGAGCTATTAAAATGAAACACCCAGTACTTTTGTATTACAATTACCTGTAGTAACTCGAAGTGCACAATCTTCATCATAGGTGAGCATAGAAGTGTGTCTAGAGGTGTGTATGCCCCAAATTAGGCTGAATAGCCCATTGAGTCAAACCTCCCATCCCCTGACCAGACTGCATCTTTCATGCCATTTATCTTTGTAACCAATGATGCCTGATAGGTTTCCCAGTACTTCAAAATAATTGGAAATAGAAATCTGCTTTGGTGGTAAAAGAATGTTCTTGATTCGTACACACTTAGCCCCATGTGTTTAAAAACATGGATTACTTTACTAATGGAGGCACCAGCCATCATGACAGCAAAACTGAGAAGAACATTTCCAGCTGGATACCTCCCGAGTATAAATGGCTGACTCTTCCATTTGAAATTTTTCTTGCATGATTGACAGTTTTGGGTTACTGTCACCATGGTGCCACAACTGTCCATTGGCACCTTTGGATTGTTGGTTTTGCAGTTAAAGCAGAAAAAGGAGAAAACTGTCACCAGTGCACCATAAAATACAATAAAATTTAGTTCAACTTGACATAGGCTACCAGGTGCTACTCTAAAAAAAATTAACAATTACATATTAGTAACAGCTTGATTTTTGTCTGAATAATTACATCAATAAACTGCTGGACTACATTTATGTGGGGCTAAATTCGCTTCAGATAATCAGTAAATATATGGGTTTATCAGCAACTAAATACATACCCCTGATAACTTCTGCTAAGATAATACAATAAAATGGATTCTAGGGTATGGATTTAAGGTACCAAAGTACAATTACTCCATAGGAAGAACAACCTTATCCTAAAGAGGGCCTACCGTGTGGAATATCCTGCCTGAATCATATAAACTTTCTGTTAGCTATGCAAGTTTTAAGAACAAAATAAAAAAAGATAAGACACTACTAGATAAATTAAGTTTTGCGAAGGAATCATGCCTGATTACAAACAAGGATGATGACTTTTATTATTTCTGAACATTTTATTCAATTTATTTAATTCAACTTATCTATTTTATCCTTTCAGTTACTGATAATAGATTACAATGGACATAGTAATTTTTACATACTCGTAATTTCTTATATATCTCACACCTGTATTTATCCTAGTTAATGTAATTAGACCTTAATGTTTTAGATAGGCAGGTCCACATCAGCCATAGGCTGACTTTTACCAACCTGTATTAACAAATAAACTGTGTATGTATGTCTGTATGTAAAAGAAATCGAAATTACAGTGGTTACAGAAAGAAAAAAATATGAAAGAGGAATCAGACTTAATCAATTTCTACATACTTGGTCGGTTCTGATGTAGATGGTGTTGAACAACAGTCCTTGGGCTCGATGTCAGGGGGGATAAGTCACACTTGCCTCTGGTAAAGGAAATGGTATCAGTGGACAGGCAACATCTAGGTCGTAAAAACACATGGCGGTGGTAGCAAATCGGCCAAAATGTCAGAATTGTGAGGAGCTTCTTTCAGTTCCTCGGGAGAAGTCATCAGCTGCTTAGAAGCATGTCTAATGATCTATGTTTAAGAAGATAAATATAGATATCAAAATAAATCATAAAGCAACAAACTGCGTATTTATTCCTCGTCCAAACGCCAAGCGGAATTTCACACCTTTTGTAAGCACACACTTACATTCTTTGCTCATGCAAGGACAAGGCATTTTTTTGCTGCTGTACACAATCTTTGGTTGGCACAGCATCCTTCTTTAACCATTACTTTGTTTGAAAGGAAGAACCTTCCCCGAGATTTTAGATGGAGTCGCTGCTCAAAGTTTGACAATTCAACATGCACAGAACACAGTACTGATGTCTTTGATGGCTTCCACTTTGCCCGTTGTCTTCGCACGAAGTGAACCCATTTCTCGCAAGTTACATCGTCACGAGGAAACATATGCATCGATGTGCCCTCTGCTCTGGAGTTATTAGTACAACTTACATTTCCAGGCCCACCAGCAACACAGTGCTTGCCCAAAGACTTTTTCTTGGGCTTCTCAACATTTTTGCCGCACTCCATGCTCACTTGGGGTTTACTCGGAATTCTGAGATGTATACAACCAGTGATGTCACAACACTGTTTTGGCCGCGCCAAGATGGCTGCCAAGTTTGGGCTCGACTAGCTGAGTTCAAAGGGCTAGGGGAAAGCTTTCCGCATTCCGTTGGACCAAAAAAAACTAACAGCACTCCTTAGTAAGGTTAAAACTTTATCATCGTGCAAAAATCTCAGATACGAAAATTTCGTTTCAGTGGCACTTTAAGAGAAATGGTGGTCTCCTGCTGTACAAATGCTGAACAAATAAGTAGTATAGTCCAGGACTTGTAACTGCAACCTGTAAATGTGAAAAACAAGGCAGCTTGAAAGCTTATGGGCAAGAAATACAGTTAGGAGTGGGACAAAAATCAACCCCCAGTATGAAAGCAAATAGCTGAAGACTTCACAAATGCTTACCCACAACAGGAAATATTAATTCAAGGGAGAATAAATATAATCACAGGGTGACAAATTTTGGGTGAATGCTTTCATGAATCAGAGAAAGGCACTTTGAATACAGTGTCTTGCTCAAGAACAAAATACAATAGTTAGGGCCATGAGGCTTGATTATTTAAGGCTAGAGTTTACCCTAACCCTAAGCAATGAAATGTAGGCAAAGTTAAATTGAAGTCAGTGCATTGTAGTGGTTTCACCTGTAAGTTGTAGGGGTCCTAGTGAGGGTTGCAGGAGCATTGTTCAATTTTCTTTGCTGCTTTTCTTGCTGAATTTTCCTCTCAGTATTCATTCACACACCATTTTCTAGGTGTTGTTTTGACAGGTGCTTGGAGTTGGGCTGTGGTTGAGGCAGAGGGTATAGCTGTCCTCTGCTAAATATCTATTACTTTAAGGCACCTACCTTACAATGCCACTGCCAGAGTGTTTTAATAGGCATATTCATGGAAGATTACTTTGCAGTGTATTTGCATTTTCTAATCAGCTTTTTCTTCATTCTGTATCTCTCTGTAGGTAGTGATCATATTCATTCTTGTTGTAATCGGAATTCTTTGTTTTTACCTGGCATATTTGTTCATTGATTCCAAGCGTAAGCCTGTTGAATTAAGTGTCACAGCTGATGAGGTAAGCTCTACTTTCTCTGTTTGTTTACCAAGCAAGCATTTTATCAGGTGTATTGTTCAATACCCACCACTCCCATGCCTACCTACCTACCAACTTACATGTGCCTGCCCTCCTTCTATACCCACCAACCTTTTGTTCTGTCCAAGGCTTGAGACTGTTTGAATAAGACCTCATCATTCCCAAAGAGTTCTTCTGGGCGCTTAAATGGAAATTCAAGTTGACAAATGAAATTACAAGCCTATGTGAAACCACTACAATATAAGTATTGAGCTCTCGTCAAGGTTGAAGTTATTTCACTTTACCTATTTTAGACAAAGTGACAGTCAAGGCTGATCTGCTGCATTTTTTTGTGTTAGGCATGATAAATCGATCCAGCCCTAAGTTGGCGTGAGATTGTACTGGTAGTTTTCAGTGATCTGTCAGCTGTGGCCTTTAGAACTGACAGATATTCCTCCCTTCGTAGCCTCATTCTTGATGGGAACTTCTGATGGAAAAATGTCTCAATCTCACTCTTGTAGGTACAAGAAAGATTGCGGGGAAGAAGAGCAAGAAGTTTGAGAAATTTTGATGAGAAGCTAGCAAAATGGAAGAAAACCGTTGCTGAGCAAAGAAGGAACATTTATGGAACAAGAACCATGCTAAGTTAGATGTAATTTGAACAAAGCTTTCAGATGTGCCTTTAAGATAAATGTGATGAAGTGGTCATGGTTGGGTTGGCCATCCTGGGAAGGCCCATCTATTCCAAGCTGAATTGTAAAAGTTAAGCCTTCTCATTCTCAGAAGTGACCAAAAATGAATTTCTCCTTACAGTAGCCATATATTTTCAAGGAGAAAGCTGAGAAGAAGTAAGACAAAAAATAAACCAAGTGATATTGTACAATTTTACACCAAATTCTCAAATCTAAAATCAGAAGAAATGTATGATTACATCTTGGAAGGGAAAGGGTAAAATATGCAGCGTGATGATACATTTTAACTGTTGCAAATATCGTTTTATAGTGTAAATAAAGGAATCTTTGGCTTTTGAATAAAAAGTAAGCACAAACTACTATTGTGGTGGTTCAGAGAGTTTGTAGGGTACAACTAAACAAGCACTCTTCCCATTAATTTGGTCCACGAAATATCTCTTTGGATCAACTAGGAATAATTCACTTATTCAAAAGATAGAATGCCCTCTCTTTGAAGAAAAAAAGTTTACCTTAAGCTCTCATGATGGGCTGATCATACTTATTAAGATGTTTTGTTTTTGATCACTCGCCATCCTGAAATGCTTGTGAGATGCTTATCGTCATCATTAGTTTCACGGCAAGAGCTGAAAAATAAATGGCATTTTAGATCATTTTAGGCATAAAATAATTTGTTTCAAAGACTCTCTTCTCTCTTAAGCGTATACTGCGCCCAACAAACTCTTGTGCAAATGTTGAACTACGAAGATACTCCGAAACAAACAATAAGTGACATCGGGTCAAAATGAGGCGAGGTTCGGCTTTCTATGATTACCATCGCCCACTTACTTATTTCCGATTGCATGTGTGGCTTCGCCTGCCATAGGAAGCATTAGCCACAATGAACCAACAAGAACTGAGAGTAGCAAACCTGCTAAAAATCAACTCGATCGGGTGGAATAGTTTAGAGAGAAAAACTCTATGGACGGACTGGTTATTAGAGTATGTAAGCCCGGCTTATGTATGTAGACCTTATTGGCCCAGAACAACTGATTATTTGCAGTAGAATATAAATTATTAGTCCAGGTTGTTTTCAGATATGTTGTTGAACTTGACGACGACATCTCTTCTTTTCTTTGTGCGCTTCGTACAGCACCGCACCATTTGGAAACGCTAAGTAATTCGGCCTGAAGTGTCAATATAGACAGATTCTTGATTTTCATATATATCTGACTGAGATTAGGCGGTTTGTTAAACGAATCAAAAGTAATTTTTGAAACACCTTGTTTATGACAGTCTCGCCAACGACGTTGAGTGACTCGTGCCTTCCCGAACGAAGTGAAAATTTAGAATTTCGTGGCCGCCGCTAGTTACGCCTACTCTCAGTCAACGAGGTTTACATTCAACAGGTCTTGGAGGATTCCTTACGACAAAACGTGTCTGATCAGGTTAAGTATTTTATCATGAAGCTTCAAGGTATCACAGTTTAAACCAGACATATGCTGACTGAGTCAGTTCTGAACAACAAGCTCTCTTTGGTCTGCACAAGGACTTCTGTTTCAGTCTCAAACATATAGAAAAGAAAATCCAGTTTTGGTCTCTGACGCGATGGCATTGGTAAAAGAAGTTTTTCAGTGCTGTTTTTTATGCCGTGAAAAAAGAACACTTTCTCTACCCCATGATTATTGTTGGTCCCTTGCTCTATCCGAATTCTTTTCGAGTCTTAATGGTCCCCGTTTTTCCGAATGAGCTCAGGGCGCGGTTTGTCATGGCTGGCGATATCGCAGGAACACCAGGAAACATGAGCCCACGTTGAACAGCAATGCGGCTATTCGTTGAACTGACGAATTTGAGCGGCCATTTTGAAGTGTCATAGAGAGGATTTTCCCGAAGTTTGGAATGGAGATTCGACAGACAAAGGTAAATATTTGGTAGAGTCTTTCTAAAATTAACTAGGAATGTTTTTAGTCTGTCTGTTTATTAGAGATACGTTTAATCTAAGCTGAGTATGCTCACAACTCATGTTGTACTAATTTCAGCTTTAGCAAAACACTCGGCAGAAGGCCGACATATCCACAGCATAAACACTAATTTCTTATTAGTTTATTCTCGAGGAAATTTGTAAGTTCTTGCTCCACATCAAAGAAAATGTTTGAGATATTTATTACTAGGAATAAACAAAGCCAGCAACTTGTCCCTCTGAAACCGGCATTTTCAAATAATTTCTTGAGTTGTTCATAATCTGGCCAATCTGAATTTCGTCATGAGGTAAACCTCTTTTTTTATTAACGTTTTCAGCACTTCACCGGTTACTTAACTATGAGAGTTACCCAGATGGTTTCTGATACTATTCAAGGTTTGAAACAGTGAAGCAGCAAGTGTTGATAGTAAACAGACAAAGACACCTGCTACGAAAGATGACACTGAACCAACACTACGCGTTCTTAGATCGTCACCCTTCGAAGATTACAGCCTCGTCAGCAATGCTCAAGCTAATGTAATTATTGTAGCAAAGGTAAGTACTAAACAATGTCGTCTTTGTTATGCAAATACTTATGCCTTACAACAGTAACTGTTGGATGTTAGTGTAAAGCTATACTTACTACCTCCCTAAAACTGCACTGTAGGTAAAGACGTCGAAATCGTCTTGCAATGTTTATGCAATTGCCGCTTAAAACGTTTGGGTAAGAGGGGCTCGTGTTTCCCACAAGGGTAGCCAATCAGATCACGGGATTCGCTTTATCTTGCCGGCTCGCGAAGCCAGCCATATAGCTGCGATGTTAAAGCATTACTCTTCCCCAGTGGAAGAGTTGAGCGCGGAAGTTTTTGAATGAAAAGAGGCATTATGCCAATACCTTAGTCCAACTGCCTGGCTAGGTTTGGAACTTGGACTTACGGACCCCCGGGCCGAGTTGTTCAAAGGTAACCCATCGTTAGTGTAAAATTTGGTTTCAGATCTGAAAGCTTTAAAGTAAATTCAGTTTAATTCCACTTGTCTACAATTTGATGATTAAATGCTCTAAAACAATTGGCAAAATTGTCCCAAAACGGCTTTTAAACAGAGAAATATAAAAACCTGGATTAGAATCTAACCCTGGGTTAGCGCTAAGCGGCCTTCGAACGACTGGGCCCCAGGCAATAGGCGGATTCATGCTGACGTCATTGTTTACATTTTTGCTCATTTGCATACGGCTTTGCGTAAAGAAGGAAGCATGTTTGATACAAATTGACTTCAGGCAGCTAAATAGCTAGAAAACCTTAGTACATGGTGAAATTTTTAGCTCTTTGGGTGTAATATTCAAGGAGAAATAGTCCATCAAAAACTGCAAAATTTCTGGGTGGCAAAAGCGCTAATGGGCTCATACATTCTATGTAAAATTTTGAGTTTTTAAACACGTGTTACACAAAAACTATTCAATGCATCAGGCTCGTATTCATTGGCCGAGTTAATCGTACTTTGACCTTTCGATATTCAGAACTGATTTATTTTTAGCTCCATCAGAAACTGAATTGCTTATGCTAATGAGGCAAATATTGTAAACAAGGATTCTCCTGCGCGCAGGTAACCATTAGACCGGCTACACTTATCCTTTTGAACCCTTTGACTCTTAAATGTGACTGGCTTCTAATTTCTCCTTAAAGTATCACCCTTGAATCAAATATAGAGGTCATGAGAATAAAGGAAATAATCTCTAATTCAAGAAGCTCCTGATTGTTAAATAAATTCTCCTTATCGGCGCCATGAGAAATTCAAAGAGAACGGTGGGCAGATGGGTAAGAATGGTTTAGATTGGAACGGATTGCAAATAACGAACTTGAAGAATTCTAGCTGAATTTTCGCGATACACAAACTGTGACTGCAAATGTTCGGGAACAAACGGTTTTATTGCAACTTACGTAATTGGCGTTTGGTCTGCAGAAAGCTGGCAGAAGTGCCGAAAAAACAGGATGTTGTGAATTTCCTGCATTTTGTGCCTGTCTTTGTCGTAGACGCATGTGAGGTCTACGTCGTTTTGTGTTGTAATCTTCAAAATTTTTCCTCTGCATAATATTATGCATTGTTCTATTAGCTTTTTCACTGTCCAAATTCTAGTATCAGTTATCCCTTAGATTCCGGTTTTTGCCCAACAATCTCGTTCTAATGTCATACAGTGGTCATCACAACTACTTAGGTTCTTCCAACAATTTTGGTTCCGCCAAAACAAGGGAAGTTTTCTTTGGGAATGATTGGAACCTTTTGGTACTTATTTTAGTATTGGTAATATCGATCAAAACAGGAAGAAGCACTTATGATGCAGATTTCTATGTAGACTTAAACACGTGTAAATAATTGGTACCTTCTCGGAAACGAACGTGCGTTTTCACTCTCTTTTTCAGCCGGGGTTTAATGCTCTCAAAATGAGTCGATAACAGGAATCAAAAGTTTTTTCTTCAATTGTGTTAAGTTACTCCTTTTCATGACGCGTAACGAGTTGCATGATGTCTGAGGTACATTGGTTAACCACAATACTTGATGAAGCACGTGGCACTTGGGCGAAAGCATTAAGTACCACTTGGATGAGATTTCAAGTACAGAGTAAATGAGACGTAAAAAGACTGATAAGGAAACCGCAAGTGAACTCTCCCACGCAAATGATGGCCCTTGACTAAGTTGTGAGGGGGTGTGTTGGATCCTTTCATATGGCGATTAGAAAATGTTCTGGCAATTTAATCATGCCAGGATTGTAAGGATTGGGACTGGGTAATTTTCTTTTTTCGGTATCGTTTGTTTGTTCCCTGGCGTTAATTTCCCACGTGCTCATAAATATATTAAGCTGACTCAGTATTTTGGTGTTTAGAGGCGTTTTTCCTCTCCTTCTTTCTTAAAGATGTGTGGCTTGTAACTAGCGAAATGATCCGTTTCTCAGACTAACCGTCAGAGAGACGGAGGAAAACTTTTTCTGACAAATTCTAAGGTATAGTGCCAAAGCATAATCTCAAGAAACAGTCAACGATCAATCATGTAACTCAGATAATTTTATGACTAGGAAAAAAATCACCCTAGGGGTATAATAACGACGAGACCTTGCGTTAACTGTGTTAATGCCTGGAAAGAGTTTTTGATCACAATTTGGCTTCAGTAAAGAATAAGGGAATTTAAATTATCTAAGTGTATGCTTTCATGTGTCATTTCAATAGCCTTTACTGAGAAACTGGCGAGTTGATCAGCTTTTCGGTGTTTTACTGAGCTCTTAGTTGAATTTGACTATTGACTACACTGCACCAGGCCCGGTTCAACAGTCCATCTAAGTGTCACTCCACTTAACATTTGATTGTTGGGAAACAGTTTTGTGCCATACACGGCTCATAACTAGAAGTCGGAATATGAATTCACCATGTTAGGTTTGTTAAGGTGCATTTCACCTGTAAAGAACTCTACTCTCAGGCATTGAAATTATTGTAGTGCATTTCCATTGCGATACGCTTGCGCGAGCATCCGTAACGAGCATTTTTTTCTGTTAATAGCATGAATGTATTGTTTTGCTTGGGATAACTTTTCACAAGAAAGCGCTCACGACAGGAGAAGTTAGAAAAAGAAAGAATGCCTTCTTTCTATTTTTTTTGTTTTGTTTTACATTTTAATATCTGCGACTGTGGTGATCAAGTTCAAGGCTGTGACGCTCTGACTGCTCTGTGCTACTATTTAAAAGTTTGCATCAAAGTTTGACGGCGTAAGAAAAACGCCTGTAGCGGTTCCCATCAGCGGGAATTAAAGTTACCTAAACTTTGAATTTGTTCCCGTCTGATGGAGTTTCATACAAAGGAATACATTGTATGGGATTGTTTGGAAGTTGATAACTCGTTCATGTAGCCTTCCAACGTAAAGCTTTTTTTTTTTCACGTAATATAGTTCTTTTAAGGAGCTCTTTACTTTTGAGCGTCTACGGCACTCATCGCAAACCACGAGTTTTATTTATTGGATGATCGTAGATTTGTAATCATTGTTCTGAGAATTCAAGGTGACTGCATACTTGTCGCGTTGCATGACTCTTTTACAACACGCGTGGCGCGTACTTCAGGTGGCGCTTACTTCAGGTGGGGGGCACGCGTGGGCGATTGGAATTTCACGACACGCGCGTTTTGAACTTGTGCACTTCTCTGACATGATGCGCGCGGCCGGCATGCGAATGCTATAGACCAGGCATGAGTTTAGCTCGTGTTAAAAACTTTTCATACGAGCTCTTAAAAAAGCAATTGCGATTCCATAAGTTCTGCATATACTTTGAAAAGACAAACAAGTGTCAAATTGTGTGTGCCAAAGAACACGGCTAGCTAGTTAGCCGCTTTACGCCAGTGATGCTGCTCAGGATCTATAGACCAGTCATCTTGTCTGCACTGAACCTAAACCTGACCTGACACGTGTAATGTGGTGCGCCCGTATGGCACGGCTCACTACAGGTTCCACCATTAAGTTTCTATACATAGTTTTCCCTTTGCGTGCGACAGCCACGGGGCTGTCATGACCAGCGTCATTTCCAATTTGTCTCACGCGATTACGATCTACTTATTGACTAAGTGTGAGTGGGCGGACGGTTAAATAGTTATTACCTATTACGTTATTTCCTCTTTTTCTTCGAGTCAGAACAAGGAACTCACAATTCCCCGAGAAATTCTGAGTCTACAAATAGAATTCACGTTCGCGGAAAAAGCACCAGAACTATGTGAGTGTGGGGACGAACGGCTTTTTCCAGACCGGCTTAGGTCAACCCGTAAGGCCCTACGCACTTCAGTTTTCATGATGGTTCTTTTATGGGATTGCGTGAGCGGGCGTTGTACGGGTAATATGATAAGTATAATTACTTTACTTAGTTTACTGTCTAAAAAACGTCTATACCTGAGACGAATTAAATTTCCCTAATTCTGACAAGCATTCAGATTAAGGAAACGTTGGCATCTTTCATCTCATCTCATCCTCTGTCAATGTTGTTACTTTAAAGGTGAAATTTGCATGTTGGGGAGAAAAACTTCATAAATAGCCCTAATAAGAAAGGAAAGGCGAAGAATTGAAGTGGAGACCCATTGGGAATTAAAGGCAGTTGTTTCTATAAGTTTGATCACTATCATAGTCAGCAAATGGCGTAACCCGCAAACAAGTTCCTGGAACTCGGCGGCAGAAATGAGATTTGTCGGTTTGATTCCTCCCAAGGACTGTTTCCTTTGTTACTATATTCCTTTGCACATTGATGTTGCATTTTACTGTGGTGGAACGCAATGCTCTTTTGGCTAATTTTGATCGAGTGTTCCTGCTACGGGCTCGGTCGGAATCCAAGTGTTATATATGCTTCTTATGGCCGCCCCAAGGTTTGTAGATGAGTGAAAGCGGCCTGTGAGTGAGGAGAGAATCATGGCTTGCCACTGATTAGGAAACGAGGAAACGACTTTCTACCGAATGGAACTTTTTACGAAGTATTAGGATCAACGAAATATCGAAATGTTAGAATTACTTTGGGATGCTGGAGAGGTTTTGAGGTGAACGGAGTGTTGAAGAAGACTTTGCAGGTGACCATTGCCAAAATTGATCACCACTTTAAAGCAGCGTGAAATTTTTATCATTACAACTTTGTCTCCCCATCATGCCTTGTTACTTTAACCCATTTCCAGTCCGATTTTTGTTGCCCCCTGGACAATTTGTCGCTGACGTGAATTTCCGTCACTTCCTGATGCAAGATAAAGGAACCGTGGTGGGGAGAGTGAAACTAAATGGTCCGCAATGGAAACTATGGCCAGATATGGCCCACTCCAAAGAGCTCGCTAACCGTATGGCTACTTTCTGTTCTCCAATTGAGTCGCATTCTTTTGAATCTGTTGTTTAATTTTGCCAGTGAGCCGGATGCTTACCATATCTTAACTTTGTCCTTATTGGACGTGGAATGTCTAGCTCTTTCTCATGAACGTTTTGCGAGAGATCAGGGTTGACCCCTCGGCCTCTGAATCAATCCTAATTTGATCCAACTTAAGATCTGTCCAAGCTGTTTGGTCGTGCAGTCAGGTTGGGGATTTGACCGCTTTGACTTCGTTTTTACTGAGATTCGAGTCGATAAGGAACGTATTTTGCAAACACTTTGTGTTAACGTTAACTTTCACGAGACATGAAAAAATGCGTGAAGCTGACACCAAAGTTCACCTTCGGCAGAAAGGGTGTCTTTACTTTACTTTCACATTTTTTTCGAGTCTACGGACAGCTGTCAAGTTCTGCGCAGTGGAACTAATCAGCAGTTTTCGTTCAAAAAAAGTTTAAGTCCAAGCAAATTGAATGTCTGTCTTGACATACCAAACCTTTTGTTTTGGAAACATAAGTTTGGCCAGTTATCCAATCTTACAGGCGTAAAAGGCATCTGGAATCCGGTAAACCATCGGCGGAATGTAATGTTTTCTTTTTCTTGTTTCCACAGGGGCACGTGTATGCGTGCATGTTGTGGTAAACACTGGGTTACGAAAATGAGTATCGGCGGTCATTTATGTTTTGTGTCTCTTCTGGCCCTCTTAACAGGAATCAATCCCTTACTTTGGAATAAGTAACCTGTAAGTTGAGGGTTATTCTCGAAAATTTAAATTTTAATCATGCACCGCAATGTAAAACCGTCGATCTCTCCGGTGAATTTTCATGGTTTGAAATCCCGCGTTAAGTAGATGAACGTTTTGAGGATTCATTTCTAGTCTGTGAGTTTTAATTTGGGGGTTTCTGTCGTATTGTTTGCAAAGAATTGTTGTGAAAATACAGTCTTTCGAGAAAGGTGAGAACAACAAGCGCGACAGTATTTTATGTAGACTTGTTAGGAAAATGATACAATCTTTCGAGAATGATAAAAACAATCGAAAATAGAGGCGCTTATGGCAGGCCTCTGGCGTGCGAGCGCGACAGAAACGCGCGTTGCACGCGTCGCAACGGGAGAAAAAGACGATATACGATTCGTTAGCTTTACAAGCTCTGATAACTGGACATTTTTGAAGTGTATTATTTTTTTTTTATAGATTATATGCTTCTGATAACACTTACAAGCGTGAAGAAGTAAAACATTTTCTTACTCTAGATGTTAGATGTATTTGTGATACTAAATGCCGTTTATGAATAGACACACGGAATTTATAATAGTGTGAGTAGTTTCTTATGGTTCCCACGGATGTGTAGCCCGGGGGTCAAAGGGTCGTGGGAGTTTACAGCCGGACATGTTCACTATAATAAGACTCCCAATGAGTTGTTGTCATTTGGAGAATTGTTTAGAACGGTTTTTGTTTTCGCAACACTCAGCTGCACTCTTTTTTTATTCCGTGCCAAACAGATTAAACACTTTAGTGGCATTTGTTAGCGCTCGCGTTTCGGCGGAACTCTGAGAATGGCGACGTTTCTAGTTACCGGGTAAAACTTTTAGATAGCCTGGCGTAGTGGATCAGGCTCATCGAGCCGCAGAAGACCGATTCTCCAAGTTGTCTTTGTGACTATACTTTGCTTTCGTTAATTTTTTTTCCTTTTCAAAGGACGTTTGAAACGTTTATCCGTTTGGACTGTTGTTAGCCTCTAGGCGTTTCTAGAAGTCAGTTACTGTGGACATATTGTGTGGTTTTTGTTGAAAGAAATCGGTAGAAAAAGAGTCGACCTCCCACTTAGACAAACCTCTCTGAAAAATCTAGCAATATTTTTCATGACAACAAATCTCAAAGTTCAGTTTTCAAGAGTGCTCCTAGACTGAAATACACTGTAGGCGGAATAAAAAAAAAAATTGAAATGCATGCTCACGCAATTAAAGTGTATTCTACACACAATGCTCTACGCGAAGTTATTTACAACCAATAATTTGTCTTACCGCAATAAAGCCCAGAATTCAGATCTCAAGAATGTTGTTAGACTAAGATACTTTGCAGACGAAATTAAGTGAAGAACGGTGATGATCTTTATTCTTCCGCACACGAGACTGCTTTTACACAGTAACAAGATTCAAAGCTGGCACATTACCGCGGA